TAAAATATTTTTAAAGTCAATTTATGCATAATATATTTAACATAAAAGACAAATTATCTAAGTTAATAAAACTTTGGGTAGTCCACATAAATAATGATTAATAGAGAGGTGAATCTTCTTCATATTAACAATCCATTCCTCTATTATTAATAATTAAAAGAATTGTGGTCTTCCCATTGCAATGCTGCATTCTCTTACAATATGTTTGAATTAAGAGAAAGAGAAAATTTTCTCTTACAATATGTTGGAGGTAAGAGAAAAAGAGAAATAAAATTTTATTTGATTATCAAAAGAATTAAAAAAAAAAGGAAAAGAAAATAATTTTTTTTAATTTATTTACTTATTTAAATAAAAAATTAATTAAAAGTTAAAATTTCTATTCTCTTCATTACTCCCAATCTAAACATATGATTAGATTAAACTTTTAAAAATCATTGGTAATTATATTTCCGCTGACCTACTAAGAGAATCGAATGACATCTGAAATTTTGATATTGCCATTTTTATCCGTTGTAAAAAAAAAAAAAAAGTTCATGCAAAAGAAAACTTGGGCCATTTTGCCTATTACTGCTCAAGTGGGTTGGGCAATGGGCATCAACAATCAGTTTGGGTGGCTAACGGGCTAACGGGCCAACGGGCCACCCAATCAATTACGGTTGGTGCCAAGGAACAACATAGAAAGCCCAATATATCCAGTTTTAAAGTCAAGGGACAAGCACAGCAACGGTGAGCAAATTAAGGTGCTCTAGCATCATGTTCTGGAAAAAGTCTGCCGTATGTAAATATACCACGTCAGTATCTCCAGCTAATTACAGTGTACCACATCATTAATCTTTAATGAATATTGTTGAGGTGGAAAAAAATGATTGATGTAACATACTATTATAGGTCGAGAATACTGTTGACATAGTATCTTCGAAATATAACAGATTTTCTCCAAGTTTTGATCACTTAGAAGAAAATTTTCTTTTTCCCATTTCCGTTCTGGTAATTTGATAATGGGAAATAAGTATATGCCTTTTTCCGAATCCCTCTCTCTATACTTTATGAGATTTGAATCGTATACGATTTGTAACATAACATTGGTGTTCCAATATTCATTATTCTTACCCATTGAAGAAGCTAAAGACTGTTTACCTGAATTTCTTAGTCAATTAAAAAGAATGGTTACAAACTTAGAACATTAGAAACGCCACTTGAATTGGTATTCGTTGAACAACTCAGACTTGACCAATCATGAACATCTCCAATAATACCTAACTTTTTGTAATTTTGCTTTAAATTTATAGTTGAATTGAAAAAATTGCATCACTCTGCACAAGGGAAATAAGTTTGAATTCTGCCTTTACAATAAATACTTTTTTTAAAAGAGTACTAAAAAACAAATAATTAAAAAAAGGGGGAATGATAATAATTGGTTTAATACAAATTGTATGTGATCAAACCTTAATGACATTTCCAAAGATAGAGAATTAGCACTTGTATTGGTCTCAATCACTTGTTAATAAAGTATTAGCCCCAAATAGAAGACATACATGAAATCAAGAGTTACCTTTTTCTTTTATATAATTTTTAAGGGGGGCAAGTTGGTAGCCTAACTTCAAAGGTGAAGGCACTAAGCAAATTGGACGGCTGTGATTTTTCAGTGGCTGACACTGTTTTTTTCTTGAAGAAACATGGGAACCAAATTCCAATTTTGTGAAAGATTCCCACTTAGCAGACTTCAGTACTAAAGCAGTTGAAAATCAAGACATTTTGGAAAGGAAAAGGTAGAGACTTGGAATGAAGTTTTGTTCATGATCATTAAACAAAAGGAAGATAACAGTTGGCAAACATTAACAATGTCAATGGATCAAAAACCGAATGTCAAAGAAAGATTAATGGGTTTTTTTTAGTTTGCTCTCTATTCCAACGCAAAGTTAGTGAATATCAATTGAGCTATTATGTTTTAGATATAGATAGGGAAAAGCATAGCATATCTTTCTCTCCCAGGGTGGAGATCACATGTGAGACAGAGCTTTTGAGAGTGTGACTTAGGGACAGAGGCATGGAATCATGGTGTTTGAAGCGTGAGCCAATGGAATTGTCTACATATTGCATCAAAAAGAAGTTCAACCAAAAAAAGTAGTATACATGGGAAAAATTGTACCCAAACAAGAAAAAGCCTCTTTACAGTTACATCACAAGCAAAGTGCAAAGATTAAAAAATAAAAAATAAAAAATTGAACTACTAATAATCTGCCTCTGCAATGGGGAGTTGAGATGTGTTTGGCAATGGATTTGTTCTCTCTTCCTTTTTGTTTTGGACAATGTTTGGTGTGGCCAGAAATAAGACACCATCTTGATTTCTAGATCTTGCTCTGGTTTTCTATCCTAATCTCAATTATAGTACTTATGGGCTTTGAGTTTTCTTATGTGTTTATTGCTTCTTAGACTAAAAGAAAGTGCTTTTTATACAAGTTACAACTAATTAAGCAGTTGTTACTTAGTACAAGTGACATTGATGTGATGAACCACACTAGTCTAAGGCAAATAAGTTAAAAGCAAGAGAACTGCTTTTCAATGATGATGATGATGTAGTGTTTGTTAGAACTTTGAAGAAGAAGAAGAGGAAGAAATGGGGTAATGAGGAAAAGAAAAATTCTTTTAAAAAAAAGAAAAAAGAAAAAAGGATCAAATTGTTGACTCATTCTTTCTGGGGGGGCCTCTTTAGGTCATAAGCTGGCATATTAAAGATTATGGCTTGTTTGTTTTCTCTCCTAATTCAAACTTTTCAATCCCCACCACCACCACTGATGTATAGAATTTGAAGTGGCACTCACTCTCACAACAATAAGTCATGAGGCATGTACAATTCCCTTTTAACTCATCTGTTGCTGCTTTTCTTTTGGTTCTCTCTTTTTTAAATATTCTGGATGATAACAACGTACCGATCCACCGACCTAATATGCATATATGCACTTATGCAGGCCATATCAAATCTCAACAATGAAAGGCCAACTAGCCAGCAAACCCAAGCTGTCATGCCACTGCTATTGATACTCAACTTGGCTGATTAGGTCAGCATTGAAGATAAGCATCGTAAAATAATCACCTCAAGTACATCGTGTTTTGGAGTTAAGTTTCTGATTATGAAATTCTTTCGTGAAAATGGTTATTCTCTTTCACCGATAACAATGGTTATCAAATTGAGATCAAAAAAAGTTTTTTTTATTCAAATTCTTGCGTTGAATTGAAAGAAAAAGGGATGTTTTAAGAAGATAAATAAATTATGAAAAAAGTATTATGTAGTCTAAATTGTATCAAATTATGGGTCTGTTTAGTGGAGTTTCTTGGAGTTTTTACTTTTTTGTAGTACTATTTATAGGTTATAAGTTTAAAATTTTTATTGGAGACAAAATTTAAAAATTACTTTTAGAAATAGTAAGAAGTGACTAAAAAAGAAATTTATAAAAAACAAAAATTTTCAAATTTTCAAATTTATTATTTAAGGTATTTTTAAGGTTAAAAATAAGTAAAAAAATATAAAATTTTAAGAGAGAAATTTAAATTTATGAAACATGAATAATATAAAAAAACTAAAGCATTTATAAATTTCACCAAACATGCTCTATATAACATTAATTATTAAATGTGAATTGAGCATTTTGATATTAAGAGTTTTCTTTTTATTTTTCCATTCAATAATTCTTATTTTACAGTTCATATTGTAAAGTAAAGTTCCATAAATTATATATCATCTCATGTTTCTTTTAAAGTGGGCTGTTCTTAAGTGGAAGGTCACAATCCACTTGCTTGATGAAACCAACTTTGATCCCTACACATCCACAAAGTAAACGGAAAGAAGCTAAAAACAGAAAAGTGAAACCAACAATAGAGCTAAGAGGCAGATATTCCCTAACAATTTACAATTTTTTTAACGAGTACAAATTTAAAAAGAGAGATTTGAACTAAACATCTAAAGTTAAAGATGCATATTTTACAAAGATTTATAATTGATTGACATTTTAAGACAAGTACCCCTAACCATTTACATTTTTATGAAAAAAAAAAGGGGTCCAAAAAAAATTTATTCCTTCACTTATTCAGAAAGACACATCACATTATCAGTGAGGGAATAAGAATACATGATAAATAATTTTGACTTTGACAAGCCTTTATATATTTTTTTTCCTTCACATTAAAAGTAAAATATTAGTGGTAAAATGTTCCAATTTATATTTCCACAAAGAATGTGATGCCAAAAGAAATTTCCAAAATTTGCGGCCTTGAACTTGACCCAGGGGTCAAGCCCTTCCACGCGTGATTGCCTGCAATTTTGTATACAAGTTCAAAGACAGCACAAGCTTCCAAAGGAACTTTCCAAACTGTTTTTATAATTTTTAAGCTGTTGTAATTTAACTGTAATTTTTTATTAAACAAAATTTTTAAAATTAAAACTAATACTGTAATCACTTGTAAAAAAAAAATTATACATGATAAAATTAAAAAAATATATATTAATTTTAAGAGAACAAGGGTTTGTAATATGAGCACACTATTTTATAATCTAAATTATTTTAAATGAAAAAATTATTTTACAAAACAAATTGTATAATCTGTCTTGTAAAATTATTTAAATATATTTAATTTTGTTTTTATATTATTTCATTATAAATATTTAAATAATTTTATAAAATAAACTGTATATAATTCATTTTATAAAATAGTATTTAAATTTTAAATTATAAAATAAAAATTATTTAATAAATTTTTTTAATATCAATAAGTTTTTTTATTAAATAATTAATATTTTATAACTTAATATTATTTAAATTATATAATACTTTTTTATTATTGTAATATCCTAGAGTACAAGTGAGAAAAGGTTAACCCTGATCATTCAAGACAGGAATCATCAAAGCAAGTTTATGGGTGTGGCATGCTGTCTGACATTTTGCTGATGCCCATGATTTTGCTAGCCCTGCCCTAAAAGACAGTACGGTACTGTCATGCTAGTCCTTCCTTCAACTTTGAAACCCAAATTTCATCCCTGTTTTTTTTTTTAAAATAAATTTACAAAAAAATTGAATTCAAATTGTTGTTTGAAAATAATAAAAAAATGCACTTATACGTCACCTAACGATACTAAATCGAAGTCTCAAATGACATCCCTGCTACCATCTATTTTTAATATTTTCCCTAAATCATATCTCCCCTCCTGAACCCACCCCTGTTATTATAACTCCTAACTGCCTTGGACACATCAACCACTCAAATAAAATTATTGTTTCATTTATTATGAAATTTAATGGAATGACTGAATTTTCTATAAATTGACCCTGAACCTGGGACATAACTAGTACAAAAAAAACAGACAAAAAAACAGACATCAGACGGTTTTTTTTTTAAATTTTATCTTTAACTCAGAGTAAAAAACAGGGGATTTTGCTTCTTACTCTTTTAAATTCATTCATACCACTTTTTCAGGCTGTCGATTTCCGACAAACTAGAACCAATTTAACGTAAAGGGGATGCAGCTTTAAGGCTATTAATGTCATTAAATACCATCTAATGGCGTAGCAGATTTGTAGGTAAAAGATGAAACAGTCTTTGGACAAAAAACAGAGTGAAAGAATCACAACATATTGGAGAATTTTTCATCAACTGTAATAATGCCAGATTGCCAGTCAAGACAAATGTGAGTACTTTATCCAATAATGGAAGAAATTTTTTTTTTATATATAAAAAGCTGAGGACTTGAATATCATCAATTATCATCTACTTAATCGATATTAACCACATCCAGAATTAAAAATTAAAATTCGAATTTAACAGTTCTAAATAATGTTTAAAATAAAAATTATTGTTCTTCCGTTCATGGGAATAGTAAATCAGTTGTTACAGAACAGAACTCATGGTAATTCTTCAAAAGAAAGAATTATAGTTAGAAAAACAGGTACAATATATAGTCTATGAATAGAAACTGGAAAAAATCTTAGATCCAAAAATCGGGAGATGTAAGCAGAATTTTTTTTTGTTTCTTACCTTTGAATCAGAAAAATTGCTTTATCTCCTGACGTGGTTCACAAATTCAGCATCGGACACAGCAGAGAGCTCAATTTGGCTGTAGTCATCGTCTTCTATGGGGGCGGGGAGGTTAAGATCTATGAAACTGTTTTCTCCAAACTTCATGGAAGTGGTACTTTTAGCAGGAGTTGCAACTAGACCAGTTACGTGAGATCGTTTATGTCCACCCAAAGCTTGCCCAGATGAGAAAACTCTAAAACAAACAGGACATTCGTGGATTTTCTTGTCTGCCACTGAAGAAGTACCTACATTTTCTGGGTCCATCTCGGGTTCACGAGCTGGGGAGGGATTTAAAAGTTTGATCTTTTTGTGACTCGCTCGGTGTCCGCCCAGTGCTTGATATGATTTGAACACTCTGTTGCATGTTTCGCACTTGTATTTGCCTCGAGATCGATTGTTCTTGTACAATTTGGAATCGTCAGAATCATCTGTTTCCTCTGTTTCTTCTTCTTGTTCTTGTTCTGTCTCTTGTTCTGGTTCTTTTTGTTTCTGTTCATTTTTCTTCCACTTGTCTCTAGAAAGCATCATGAGACAGAAAGCGACATCTTCCTCGTTAGTAGCATCGGAGATGGAACTCAACGGTTCAGGCTCCGCCGCCCATGACTCAGCCTTGTTGAGTTGGCTAAATTTCAACTTCTTGGTGTTTTCATGCTCTTGACTCTGTTGCCGGTGATGATATTCATGATCTTGCTTCCAATTCCGCTTGGATCGTCTTCGAGTTGGATTCCTGGACGACTCAGTCTCGCTTTCCCTGTCTTGAAGAATAACAGACCCAGCATCAACAGGCAAAGAGAATTCAGGATCTACCAAGCGAATACTTCTCTTTGGGTTCTCTCTTAACCCATAAAACTGCCCCTTTTCTTCTTCTTCTTCTTCATCTTCTTCCGATGAAGACGATGATGGTGCTGACTCAGCCTCCTCACTGAGTTGAACAGGCGATTCTTCTGGTAATTTTGGAGGAACTGGAAGATTCAACATGTGAGACCTCATGTGCCCTCCTAAAGCTCTTCCATTTGCAAAACTTTTAAAGCACAATCTACACTTATGCCTCTCCATTACCACCCAAAAACAGAGCTAAAAACAGAGCTGGTTTTTCCCCGAGAAAGTTTCAAAGAAGAAGCATGGAGAAAGTGTTGAAGAAACTAAACCCAAAAAAAAGGAGTAGGTGACAAGCCTTTGCTCCACCAAGGAAGATATATACAAATATTACCGAAGAAAATTAAAAATGGGTTTTTTTATTTTCTCCCAGTGATTTATTTTTTTTGTCTTAAAACGGTAAAAAGCAATAAATAAAAAATTTTTAATTAAAGCGTATGGATGAAGGCAGAAAGAGGGACATGTAACATGCAAGGCTTGCCCGTTTCTGTATTTATTCCCTTCTTCATCCACTTTTCACGCTTCCTAATTTGCCCTTTCTTACCTGCAATTTTCAAAAATAGAAAAAATTGTTTCAAAAAAAAAAAAAAAACTGATGGTTGAATGTTCTTCGCAAATGTCAAACTCAGCTTTCTTTCTTTTATTTATTTATTTATTCATAATAAGTTTACTATTCTTAGAAGGGTATTTTAGGAATTATGATGTTACCGAATAAACCGGTGACTTGGATTTCTTGTACAAGGCAAGAAAACTGTTGGGTTTGTTGTAACGACGGAGCAGAATATACAGCCAGAAAATGACTGCACAATGTTAATGTACATTAGCTGTCAGACTAAATAAAAGCACAGGAATCCACCAACCAATGAGATTCCTACGCGTCACCCATTAATCCACGTGGCAGAACCGAAGTGCTTTTGATGGAGTAA